CTGGTCTCCCATGTTTAGTATGACTCATGCAACACTTGGGCTTGGAGACACAGATTTGTTCCAAAGGCTTAAAATAAGATACTTTTCCCCCTTCCATACTTCATCGCATGGAAGTAGACCCTGCACTGGTGGGGATGGGGCTCACAGCAGACCCACACCCCTCTGAAAAAAGCTTTTTCAAGCAATTCATAAATGTCCATGTGGGAAGACTGTTGAGCCAGGGCCAACGCCAGATTTCCCTTTTTTGGGACAACTAGGTCAACGGCAAACATTTAGCAGAGCAGATGCTTTGGATAGGCCTGAAAGGTTTCTCCTGGCAGAACAGAGTGAAACTTAGTGGGTGTAAAATGAGGATAGCTTGTGAGAAAGATGCTGCAACCTGCCCAGACAGAGAAGGACCAGGAGCAGAACAGGTGAGTGATGCCTCTCAGGAAGGCAAAAAGAGCCACCATTTTTCACAGGAAAGCCAAACTCCAAGGTTTTGGGGACTGCTGCTTTGTTTGGCTGCTGTTTTCCTTGGGATCATCATCATCATCATCATCATTATTATTGTTATTATTGTTATTGTTATTGTTATTATTATTTTATTATTATTATTATTTTCTTCTCCTAGACACAAGGGCAAGCAGTTGGCAGCCAGAAGCTGAACTGGCATGACCCTTGAAATGAAGAATGGCTGGAAAGACAGTGGCTGAAATGAAAAGTGGCTGGCTCTGTTGGCATGGGGTGGGCAGCCTGGAAAGAGCCCAGAGCTCTGCTTCGCAATTGTGCCCATGTTCCTGCAGTGCTGCCCTTGGAAGAGAGCAAGGGGTGGGATCTGCTGCCTGGGCCTGCCAGGGAGAGAGGGTTACATGGAACAGACAACACAAATTGAAGGGTTTTCTTCAGTACCACTGCTGCACTGCTTCTGTTAAATGTTGAATTTTACTCACAGCTATGCCTCAGTTTTTCCTGTTTGTGATGCAAAGCTGAAACAACTCTCATAGTCTCTCAGTTTTGTGTTGTCAGCCTCTGACCCTGTCAGCTGGAAAACTGCTGGTAGCATAGTAATTATCCAGACACTGATTTACTTCATTCTAATGAAGGTATATTTAGGTGTGCTTCTCATGGTGTATGTGTGTGACTGATTAGCACATTTTAAAGCCTCCTGGCTTCCTCTCCTTCAGGTGTCCCAGGAGAAGTCATTCTTTATTTTCGATATCTCATTATTGTGAGTCACTGGGTCAAAGAAGTATGATCTACATGATGTTCTGACAATGTTTTCAGGCTGCCAATTTGTACATGGCATGCAGTCCTCTGTCTTTGCCTGATGAACGACGTGCACTTCAGAGCAGTGAGCATCTAGACTCTGCTCAATGTATTGCATTATTTCCAGTTCAACTGCTGCAACCCTGGCTTTATATATTATACACATTGTCTAATACACATAAAACTTCCAGACTTTGCCCATCTACCTGCCTGTCTCAGTACTTGCTGGGCACCATCCACTACTGTAACTTGGTGCTGAGAACAGTAAGATAAGGAAAAATTCAGTCATGACAGATTTTTTAAGGGTATGTACTCTTGCAATTGGATTGATGGTAATGTATATGAGATATACATACATATTTATGCATGTGTTGCTTGTAGGTACATGAATAAAATAAGAAATTAATTTAGGCTCATTTGATTGAAAAAATTACATTAACGTAGGCAAGTGCTGTGCAGAGTTTCTTGGGGCACTCAGGAGATGGATGTACATGCTGACCTGCAGCAGTCCTGCTAAAATTTTTCTGGGCCTCTTTTGTACCAACCCTGCCAAGTGTTCATTCTCCAGGCACATAACAGTTTTCTATATAAAGGATGGTTTTAAAAATAACTCCCATGTACCTCTTAGATCCAGATGCTCTTTTTAGCTATGGAAAACTCAACATTGTGATGACATATATTCCCACTGGGGAAAATATTTATTCTCCTTGCGTTGCAAAATGCAGTGAGCAAAATGTGGATGATAATTTGGGACTGCATTTATTATGAAATGCCTCAAACATGAAATGAAACACTTGTGTTGGTCTGATCCTATTTGTAGTAGAGCAAAGTACAGGAGTATGCATGGGAATATCATTCACACTCCTCCCTCCTTATATTTTATGTGTTCTATTTAGGAAGCGACCCTTACCCACCAGCCAGCAAAAGAAATTCTATAAAAAGAAAAAGGGGAAAAATGCATCTCTTTCCTCATTTCTAACAATAATCATGAGCAGTACCTTCAGAGTTACTGTAAAAAGTACAGGATATGTGGTAGTCAGGTGTCATCTGGTACAGATATAAATAGATCAGACGAATGACATCATTGGTTTTTGGGAGAAAAGTAACACTGACGAGCCTTTTGCAAAATAATGAACTTGAGTCCTTATGGCATTCAATGGTTCTTTTTTACTTTGGATTTAAATAGGATAAGATTGATATGGCATACTGCATTTATTCAGCATCCTTTACGGAAAGAAAGATGTCTTTTAAATGCTCAATAAATCAGACTTGTCTGCACATATTTAAAATAAATGAGTTGGGTTAATTTTACAAAGACATCTGTCTAGTTCCATTTTAGAAAACCTACATGGTCTCCTGTGGCTTCTTTAGAAGGTTGCAGCTCTTCCAAGTCTCCCATGACACTTTCTGCCAATCCTGTGCATGCTCCTCTAATGGCACTGAGTGCTATATTTAGTCAATCGAATCTTGACAAATAATTAGAAAAAAGGGCTGTAAGCATTTCTAAGGCATCCAAAGTTTGTAGGCATAATGTGGTAGTTCCACTGGGGCAATGAACCCACAGCTGAATGGTGTTGTGCTGCAGCACTCATCTCCAGATGGAGTCACTGAGTCCAAGTGCAGGAAGAGGTCATAGTAAACTGTGATAACGTGTTATTTGCTGAAGGGAGAAGATCACGATTTGGGCAGCTCAAACTCAATTCATGTTGTTCAGCTGTTCCCAGCACATAGGAAAATATTCTATAGGCAGTTTTATGCTGTGATGAGATGTTGAACGGCTAAAACTACTTTCTGATATGCCAGAAACAAGTGTTCAGGGTGGCCCCACCACAAAACTTCCTTCTGAATCCACACATTACACACATTGCAGAAATACGTTAGAAATGGTTTGTTAAATGTGGCAAGTGCAAGCGTTGTAAATTTTAAATGGAAATGCTCAGTAACATCTGTTGCTGATGGGTTTAGTGACTGTGCTTCAAGTTGGGTAACGAAAATTCCATAGTCTGATGCAAAAAAGCCAAGACACACACACTTCTACTCTCCTTCCAACCATCACATAGTCTTTATTAAGCAGAATATTAAATTAAATCTGAGCAGCATTTATCTCCTAAAATTCAGCTTTTCTTAACATATGTCGGATAAAATCCATTCCATCTTCTGTCTGATTTTTAACTGCTTGCTAACACAGTACCTATTGCAAACTGCATATGGTAGTAAAAAAAGTGATGAGATACTTGTCTGGATTAAGAGTAAGGCATCCAAAATAAATTTGAGTAAAATGACCTTAATTTAGCAAAGTACTTCAGCTTTAAGCATGGAAATAGCCAATGAATCACATGCTTAAAGTAAGACTCATGTATGATATGTGCTTCTTGCTAAATTAGGCATAAATTACATCTACATATTGAATGGCAGAAAAAGCCCAGTAAAAAGACAAAAGCAAGCAAGCAAGCAACCAAAATCACAAAGAAAACATAAACATGAAAGCTTTGGTTCAGAAGCAATAGTTTCTCAGATGTAATGCAGTCCACATAAGGCCTGTTTTGTTTTTACTCAGTCACTTTATTATTTATTGCTCAGTATCAAAAGGAATAAAACTGACATTGATTAAAGGCCATTGTGAATTGTAGGTAATATTCATATAATTCTTTGAATAGTATGATGCACATTGTAGGGATAAATCAGAGTCATAGAAGACTGAAAAAGGGGGAATCACAGTATGATGCAATAATGTAAACAATAGCACGTATGTATAGATTAATACAGATTTCCTTTTCTCCACTTGACAGGCCTGATCAAAAGTAGCAAAAATTTCAGTTGTAACAAACATTTGAGTTTTTCCTTTGAATGGGTGAATATATATATAAAAAATAATCTTATAAAGCAGACTGGATTAATATGTCTCTACTGCTTTTCCTCTTGATCCTTAAGGATTATCAGAATCCTCTCCCACTGAGTTTATTAGTTGTTTAAGAAAATGAGCTGAGCAAATGTTGTTTGAAGTGGAAAAGAAACCCCTGCTGATATTCCCACAGAAGGTATGAAATCGGATACCTTTGATCAGCCAGGAGTTTGTTGATAATCAGTATGGACTGGTTGCATTATAAAGGGCCATGTTTCAGCAGCTGGCAGCCCTCCAATTTCCTCTGCAATAAAGGGTGCATAACAGCAGCAAAATATGTCTCTAAGAGACTGAAGACCAATCTGCACTGAGAACTTCTGGTCAAGTGTAGCGTTCACCTGGATTTTATAAGGCTTTGAGCAAATTCAGCAATTCAAATAGGGCAACTCAGCTACTGAGACCTGGGCTATGCAACACAGCTTCAACCTGACTCAACACATGGGAACAGGATCAGCAGCTGCTGTTTTTAGAAAGAGCATCAACGTTGCAAAGGCCTATACTAGCCTGGCATGCAGCAGCAGGATTTAGGACACCAATTTGTGGTTAGTCACAGAAAAGACAGGCATTTAGTTTCAAGCTAGTCCAAGACAGCATGAATTCAGCAGGGAGCTTTAGGATAGGGCTTAATCTCTACGTCACAATGCATGCTAAGCTGTTTAAGTGTATTTGGTGCAATTACATCCAATTGAATACTTGGAAATTAGGTTTCCTGTCTTCAAATATCATAGGCCCCTGCTTTACAACAGAATTGGCACTGACTGACTTGTGTAATTTAGTCAAGGTCCCACAGACTGCTCCCTGAAAGGTTCCTGTGCCCAGAACACATTTGACGATGGAGGCTTATATGGACAAAACAGGGATGTCTGCACAGTCTCACCAGCATGGAAAAGACTCAAGGGATGATCACGGTGGTTTACACCAAGGAAAAATTTATGTTGGTGTATTTACTGCTGAATCTGCAAAACTTCTATTTAGCAAATGGAGAAGAGAGCGTTGGTGTGTGAGCACACCACCAAGACACTCAGTGCCTTTCTGTCACAAGTTCTGCATTTTGATAATTACAGACTTCAGTCCTGTGTGCAGCCTGTCTTTTCCTAACATTTTCAGCCTTCCAGTGGGTTATATAACTGTTTTATTTTTTTATAAATAGGATTAATATATAAAATGTTTTAAGTGCAATAAACACAGAAAAATATAAAATGTTTCAAGCCTGTGGCTGTCTCCCAGCGTTTTACCCATTTTCTGTATCACCAGATCAGGGTGAAGGAAACACAGAGCGATGCTTCCAAGCAGGCTTGTGAATCCAAGGCCCAGCTATTTTTGTGACCTATGAGAGCAGCCAACACACACCCAACATACGCTGAGAGCTTTTGTTCATATACAGAGAAAACAAAGGACACACAAATTCGCTACTCTTTCCTATGGGAAGATTGCACAGAAAGAGAAAGTTGCCAGCTTCCAGGGCACAGTGCATTTCTCGAACTGACATTCACACGGTGTCTCCAAACTGATTTGTTGTGAGACTAAACACCAGGACTAAACGCTGAAACTCGGGTGGTGTTGGGGACAAATCTGTAGAACCACAGCCACACTCTACTACAAGCATTGGACTGTAGTACGAGGACAGTTTGAACGGTATTTTTCCCCCATCCCCCAAAATACACACTTCAAACAAGAAAGCAGTCCAACAGTTTCCTAAGACACAAGAACAGGACGCTAGTTTAGTCCTTCAGAACAAGCTGTCTGTCTCCGTCAGGGTTGTAGCAGCCATCCTGCACCAGAAATCAGCCCAGGCTTTGTTCTTCTCCCTCCCTTACCTTATTCCTGTTACAATCCAAGGGCCTCTTATTTCCCTGGTGGTTTCTGACTACATTTTCTTTCAAACATTCAACTTTTCATAATTTTTGTGTTGCTGTGGCAGTCTAAATGTCTTTTTCTTCATGTTGTTGCAGTTTTCTCACAATTTCCCTGAACATCTGCAAGACAGCCCATCTGGGTTGACACAGTGTGAGATGAGGCAGACAGGCATTGCCAACAAAGGGCTCCCACTGCAGGGAGTGGGCTGTTGGAATCAGATGTTTTCCAAGACATCTATGGGGACAAAGCCTTTCTTCTTCCCGCTGTATACCTTGATAAAGCCATCGTGTTCCTTTTCGGAAGTCACACAAATCTGAATACAAAAAAGGTATCAAAATGTTAAACTCTTTGCCATGATCAAAGAGACAAATTATTCCAGGGTATATATCAGGCAGGCTAGACATCCTGCTAGTTATGTCTATAAGTAGAACAATCCCTGTTGGACTCTCACTGCTTTGATAAGAATCTCAGACTCACATATTTAGAGACTTACCTTTCCCCTATCTCCCTGAAGTGCCACATAAGCATGAGAGATATCAAAATTGTTAAGGACTTTGTGGTGGATAAAAGATTTTGAAACTCGAATGTTGACTTCAGCCTACTGTAATGATCATGCTGGAGTTGTCTGTGTATGAGAAAAATGGGTATTTCAGATCATGAGCTATCTGACTCCCTCAGCACCTAATGGTGAAAAGTAATCAGGGGTCCTGGTAGCAGCTGACCTGAATGCAAGCATATTCTCTTTTGCATGTTAAAGGAGCCTCAGTACTTCTGAGACAAGCAGTGGATTATGACATTTACTCAACCCTCCCACCTGCCTGTTTTGGATTCCAAAATGTGTGACCCAAATCCAGCTCTTTGACAGTGTTTCCACAGCACCTGCTCCACAGGGAAACAGTCATGAAACCATGTTGTCTTTTTAACAGCACAAATATTACACTCTGGTAAAGACTTTAATTTCCTCCTGACCTCTCTCTTCTCAGGCATTTCCACTTTAAGGCCCTTCTTGAAACATCTGGTAATGGCTGAACCATTTGAAAGCCTAGTGGCACAGGCACATTAGACTGGGCACAGCACCACACCAAATAAAGACTTGTTTTCAAATTTCTGTGCCAAAGAACTATATATTTCCTACTAGTCAAACAAGATTAAAATATAGCCGGAAAACTGACAGTCCTATTGAGACCACTCCGTACACTGATTTCTCATGATGTCAGTGCCAGCCCTCTATCTGGACTAACACTCATCTCTGTCTGATAAGTATTTACAATGTTTATTTACAATAATTCACAGGATATGAAACGAACAAAAATAGCTCTAATGTATTCCTGGATAAATCCATTTCAGCATTACTATTATGGGTGACACCTAAATACCATGTCTGAATTCTAGGCCAGCTTGTCCTGTTGCTGCATAAAATTTACTAGCAGCACTGATGCTGCCAGAAGGAAATGAAAAGTTATAAGAAGGTGGTGAAGCTGCTTCACATTTACCACTTCTAGTATTTGGAAATAGGTAGGTGGATCTCTGTACCTGCAGACAAAGTTTTGGAAAGAAAATGGACTCATTAATTTTCTTACTTATCCTGCCTACTCAACACTAATGGAATTGGATCCCTGGGGCAGAATGACTGAGCACACCAACGGAGCTGACATGCAATTAGAAAGAATAATGTATTGTTGTTTGGGCTAAATCATATGGAAAGCGTGGGAGAGGTCTAGAATTGATGCTGTCTAGTTTAGGTTCTGTTGCAAAACAGCCAAGCTCATTTATGTCATGAATTCCCAGCACAGCATCTGCTTCCTCTGCAGTCACATCACCATTCAAAACAGAGAGTGCAAAGCACATGGACAGTGAAAGGTGTTTCTGACTACTGCTTTCTGTTGGTCTCTGTCTCTAAGAAAGAAATGATGAGAGAAAAAGCCTGCAACGAAGCACAAGACTAAGGGTGGTTAAGTATGGAAGACTATCCAAGTGTGGGAAGGAGCATCAGTTGCAAAGTTCCCCTTTGCAGTTGATCCCCACTTCCATGAGTCTTTGCACCTTCTCCATAACTAAAGCTGGGTGGTTAAAAGGAGTGATTCACTACATCATTGCGTTTTTCTCCTAACTGAAGATGTCTGCAAGACTTCTAGCTTTTTGATAGGATCCCCAAAATTATCACATCTCCAGCAGGTCTACATTGCTCACTAAACCTGGGGCATTTTTTTGCTGAACCTCTCTGGTGCTGTGCAGAACATATTGCAAGAACAGAGTGGTTTCCCCTGTTGTCTTGTATTGTCAGCAGAATGATTTGTAGAGAAAAGAAAAATACTGCGTTTTCTGAACACTTTTTCTTTGTTTTTGGAGAGAAAAATATGGCAGATTTCTTCTATTTTCAGTGGAATGAGGTATTATTTTTTTTTGTTTTTGCTCATTTGAGTGCTCCTTAATATCAATGCGTCCTCTGCTACAGTGGTAACTTCAGATTTTCACGGGGCATGAGGTGTACAATGCCTTTATGTGAGAACTCTCATTCCACATACCAATACACTGATCTGAATTTTCCCAAATTCCAGCTGAAATTCTCTCATGCTAAGACACTAAGCCTTGCATGTGCCAGACCCCAGATGGCAGAGTTTTTTCTCACTACTTTCCAAGGAAGGTTAGAGTTCAGGGGCAGAATAAGTTTGGCCACAAAATGTCACACTTTCATAATCCTGTGCCACTCAGGAGGTCTCCTGGGTCTGTGACAGCTGCTGGAACTTTGCAAAGCCCTGGAGCTGCTCCAAATTCTGCACTTTTCAGAGAAGACTGAATAAAATACCATCTCTGGCCACTTTAGCTCTCATCCCCTTTTATGTATGCTGCCACAGATTCCACTCACAAGTTGTATCCTGGAGATTTGGCTCTTGCTTTTCTTACATAGGTGTAAATTCAGAGTAATCCCGATGAGGACATGGTAGCATCCAGAGTTTTGGATTTCACCTGATGGACCAGCTGTTGTTGAGGATTGGCCTTGATGAGAGATGGCAAAGATGATGGTTGTGAAGGAATGAGGTGCCACAGGTACCAACAAGTGGTTATGGTTTTCTGAATTAAGTTGGAAGCTGCTTCAGATGGCACTACTCAGGCTGGCATGTTTTGGGTGACAAGCTGCTGGCCTGACTACAAAAGTGAGCCACAGAAACCACTCTTCAGTGAATTTGGTTGGAACACAAAGGGGGACGGTTGGGATTTTCCCCCTGTACTCTGGCTCAAGAGATTAGTGGTGGAGTAAGCCACAGGGCAAGAAACCGCATCTCAGGCTGTTTCTCACTCAAAAAGTTATCTTCAGAATTATCTGAAAGTGGGATCCATTATTATAAAGTTACTTCCCCATTCTTTCATCTCATTAGCTTTAAAAAGTTTGTAAAAAAACCCCAAACATTCAGATTGTGACTGTTGTCTGAACTTGTCAACAGCTGCCCTGAGAATTCTTTATCTGTCAGTCAGCCCTGAGCAGGTGAGGGAGATGAGCAATTAGGAAACTGTCCTTTGACTGCATGGGCATTCCTGTTCTAAATCCTGTGCTTTGAATTTGGGTTTAAATGGCCAGTTCTCTTTGGGAGTAATTTTGAAATTGCTGTACCTTTTAGCAGCTCTTCTTTCTTCCACATAATTAACCCATGTGACAGCCACAGACCGGTTCTGATGAAGTAGGACTTTGGTTATGAGGGCAGTACAGTTTCAAGATCTATCTTGGAGCCCATAGAGAGTGCCAGGTCAAGAGGTCTGCAAGTTCAAGCCTTCTGTTTGCAAGAGTGACAGCACAGGGACACTGTGAGCTTCTGTATCTGCTGCTGCCAGGGCACCAAGGTCCTTGCCTGTGTGAGCCTTGGGATGGAAATGCTGAGCAGTTCACTTTCCATACCCATAGAGTCATAGTGCAAATGATGATGAAGGGTTTTATATCAGTTGTTTCACTAACTTTTGGACCGAGAACACGGTCTTGTTTTACCCATGTCACCTAAGGTTTTTAAAGAAGACCTGGACTAGACTGGATGATCTGTGCCCTTGTTTTGGACTCTTGCAAACCTTTTGTGCCACTCAGCATCCCTGAATGAATGGGGACACCCATCCCTTCTCATTGACTGATGTCCATGAAAATCAGAGAGAGCTGGAAAATGACCCTGCTCCCTTCCAGCGTAGCTGTGAGGTGCAGCACTTAGAGATGGGGAGCACACGAAGAGCTGCAACATTGCTTTCAGTGATGAGTTTGCCTTTTAAGTGTTCTAATTTGAATGCATAAGTCACTGTGATGAAACTGATTTTCAAAGGCAGCTGAGTCATGCTCTTAGAAGCTCAGCTTCTTATACAGCATCACAAAAATATGGGGAGATAAGTAACTCCTAGCAAATGAAGTGAAAAGCCAGGTAGGAACAAAGCATCCAGGCTAATCAGAAGACCTGAGAGAGGTGGATTTCCTGAGTTTGTAGACCTGATCTCCAATCCTGCCTTGTTATGCCCAGCCTTGTGGATATGAGACATTTGTAAAACACCCATCACAAAAAGTTGCACTGACTTCTATGTATATTCAAAGTGCACTCTGGATGAGGTAAAGAGCTTCTGATTCCCAGTTTCTTACAAATGTCATGATTTGGGGTAATTTCTGTTGTCCAAGATCACTTCCACAATTTAAAATCAATTGTGTTATTTAAATACAAAAAGCCCAGCTCTAAACTAATTTGTGTTAGTGTGACTGTTAGGTGTCAGAGACAGCCAGGAAAAGGTGTGAGTAGGATCTTTTTCAAACTAAAATCAGACATTCAAACAGCGGATTATTTTGAATTCTTTAAAAATAAGGATGATTAAATACCTTAAAGGCATTTTAAGAGATACTTTTCCAAATATTGATGATATATTAGATATTGTGATTTTTTTTTCTTTTGTGAACATAGGTCAAATCAGAGCCTGTTGTCATGCAAAGAAGTATTTTTATAATGTTTGGTAATGAATTTGGGTAGTCTAGGGCAGAAGTTACAGGCTGGGGAAAATATATATATACAAGTGATGATACAATCAGAGTTGGAAATTATGCAGTTCATATTGTTTGTGAGAACAGCTTGAAAGTGTGGAAATCCACTGAAATTGGTCAGATTTGGTTTCCTTATTGATAATCTTGATTTACTGATGTCAGGAGCTATGCCTGCCTACATCCTACAGATCCCTGATCGAGCCTGGTGGTGCCCAGTCATTTTCTGAACTGGTTTGAAACTTAAAAATCAGCCAGCGAACCTTAAATTCCAAGATGCTGGCATCTCTGAAGCAGTACACTTTTTATCCTCCAGCCTGGGTTTCGTATTGTGTAGTGAAATTTTCAAGAGATCCTTTGTGAAGATTAGCTTGTGCATACTGCTCAAGGTGGGTGAACAAACTGTGGTTATTCTTCAGCCCTCTCCCTGAATATTGGCTTTGCCAGAAAGGGTGCATGAAGCTGAAACTTCAAATGTTATTTCCATGGCATGAAACCAAATGATTGAAGAAAAAGTATCACTCACTGTGCCTCAGACTTTGAAAGTATCTCTGCTTGTATCTTAAAGTGACTTTTTCTAGGATAGCCATGTAGGTTTGTTGATATGAATTTATTGCCTTTTGCCTTACAAGAGTAGACTCTTTACCCAGAAAAATTCATATATGGCATGAGAGGACAGAGACCTGAAGAATAAACCATGGGAGGTATCAAGCAATATAAAGAAAATTCATATTATTCTCACTGGATCAGTTTTTCTGTTAGTGCGTCATCCTTGCTTTCATTGTCAGAATGGTTCTGTGCTCTTTTTAGACCACATGGAAAGGGACTCAGTGAAGTAACTTTGCCATCCTAGAGTCACAGGGATTTATTAGACCAGTTAATGAGTTTTTCTAGCTAAAGTGAGACTTGACAGGAATAAGTAGTGATGAATAATCTCCCCTGCATGCTAATCTGGAAGAAGTCAGTGCTTTGCACATAGTACACGTATTGCATTCACAGCAGTCTGAACACTGTGCCTGGAGACAGGTAACATGGCTGATGACATTCCACAGAAATTCCCAACAGACCAAAAGACAAACAAAAAAAATTGTGCCTAAGTTTTCCCAGAAGTCCCATTCAGATAACTTTGTTTTTGCCATGCCTTCCCCTATTGCACCTCTCTCTCTGCTTCATGTGTAAAACAGTGGAGAAATAAAGGCCAGAAAATAAGAGAAATGGCTGAAGAAAGAAGAAAGGAAACTTGACTTTGGAAATATAAAATACATTTTTAAAGTAAAAAATTCTCAATAACAATTAATTTTTTTTTACAATAAGAGTTTTTCCACAGTGAAGGCAGAGTTGTTTTTTATAAAAAAATATAAAAAATTGTGCCCAGTGTGGAGGGTAGCAGGAAGCAGATAAGTGTCCATGGCCTCACTGGTGCTGTCCCACTTGGAAATTACTCAAAATGACCTTCAAGCTACTTAGATGATCCCCTTTTGCATAATTCGTGTGAGAGAGGAGCAGGATCTGTTTGCTATGCTCCTTTCCTCTCATGTCTCTGCATTCATGTGTTTGTGCAGTCTGGTCTCTGCCCCCTGTTTCACAACAAATATTTATTTATTTCTTCCTCTGAAGCCTCTCCCACATGGAGCAAGCAGCAGACAGCATTGATATTCAGCCTCAGCATTTGTGTGGGCTTGAGATAGAGCTGAAAAAGTTTTTTAAGGAAAGGAGGCAGTAGGGGTACAGGATCTATTCATCCCTTTCTTTACCTCCTGCCTTGCCAGAGAGGATGAGGCACCCTGACTCTGAGATCCCTTTGTGATGCCATTATGAAATAGGGACAACAGGATGGTCCTTGTGTTTAGATGAAGCTGCCAGAGCTGCCCACTTGGAAACTGAGGTTTTGTGAGAACTGAGGGAAGCAACTGGGCTCTCACTGCTTGCAGCAGCAGCCACGCTGACAGAGATGATCTGGGACACCCACTAATGAGAAGTGACACACGTCTTGACCATTCCCTCATGCTGGCATGCCATGTTCCAACACTACCATTTCCTACCTTTGCCCTTGTGTATTGCTTATTTTAGAACATAAAGCCTCCAAAAGCTCTTGTTCTGCTCTGGTAATATTTCTTTTTTTCTGTGTGTACAGAGAGAAAAAATTTATAAGAGATGTTGGGTAAAAAGAATGTAAGAACTTTCTTTCTGGAAACTACAGAGCTGCCCAATGTACTATGTGTACAGGGGCAGCTAAAATACATTCTGGGCACTGTATTTCTGTGCCTTCCTTTGAAAGTTGTGTGCACCCAAGGATTGTTTGCACTTTTATGTTTTGCTATGCCCACAAATCAGCAGCAGCCAAGCTGTAAGTTAATCTTATCCACCAGTGAAGCATTAAAGAAGTTCTGTATGGAAAAATCTACAGCCCTCAAGTCCACACTGGTTCTGACTTCTTCTCTGCTTTATTAAAATCAGTGGCTGTTCAGGTTTTAAGGCAAACCATTTCTGGTGATGTGACACAGTTGCCACAGGAAAGCACTTTGCAAGGTGCAGTGAGAAAATCCACCTTTCTATTGCATCCAGATTTCAGAGAACTCAAGCTGTGTGTATGTCATCGTAATTAGATGAGCATATGCCACAAACCTGTCCCTTAATGCAGGTTTTGGGTCATGGCTTATGCCTAGTGAACCTATCTAAAGGACACAAAATAGAAGGAGCTGCTGAAAATACACCTGGGTGAATGGACCCTGCAAGTCCTCACCAAATGTAGTACTTAAGCTCACAGGAGCACTTAAAGCTTAAAATAAATTACAGCCTGTAGAAAGGGTATTTAAGTGGTGACAGACACAAAAAAAGGATTAAATACACCTTGCAACTGGAGAACAAGTGTCACATTTAGGATTTACAGCTTTGTGTCATGCTCTCTTAACTCTCTTCCTGTTGAAGCAAAGACAATGGGCTGTGTTTAGATCTTTAGGTAAGTTAGCATCTGGAGAGGGAGGCATTATCTTTTATTAGATTAGCTCTAATAGTGGGGAGAAAACCAGATCATTTTTCTGGCACTCAAGGTCTACTGCTAAGACTCTGTGTTCATCTCTCTGAAGTCAGTAAGAGAATGAGAAATATATAAAGTAACACTATGAATGTCTGTGAAACTGAAAAAATTCAGGCTATGTTAGGCATCAAGTATGTGTTTGCACAAGGCAAACACTGCACTTAACTGGCTACTAGACACTGTTACCATTCAAATAATAAACCTTCCAGAATTGCAGTAAAAACATCTGCCTGTCCTCATGTTGCATAATTTTCCCTTCAGTCCTTGGTAAGACTGCTGGATGCTCTAGTGAGTCCAGTGAGCGTCCAGCACAGAGGATCTTACCTGGTTCTCTTTCAGAGTTATCTGTCCCTGTTCCTTGCAGCCAATGAATGTCCTGATACACCTGTAAATCTTCTCATTTTGTTGCACTCTCTGAACAAAGTTAGCAGGAAAATATCCAGTTCTGTCATCAATTCTCCCCTATGAAGGAAGCATATTGATAGAAGAAGATTGTTAACAGTAGAAGCTTTAATACAATTTCAGTATTGAAAACAATATATTTTTCATTTTGGAAAGAAAACAGACATAAAGTGATTATCACATACCTTCCACCAGTCTTCATTAGAGTCTTCCAGAAGTGTGATCATATCTCCTGGCCTGTGATTAGAAGAGGAATAGGATGTAAGATGACTTACATAATTGTCATATTGAATCAGCTTTCACAATTTCCTTCTAATAGGAAGGTGGTCCTCACATGGTTATTTTGTTTGAGTGTTCACTGAAGGTAGACCCAATAAGGTGGCAAGGTTTTCTTCAGTCACACATATTAATGTAGAAAGGCAGTCTCTGTATCTTGGGGCTAGATCTTTATTTTGAGACATCTATGAACTGGAAGTTTTGCTTCCTGTTTTTTAAGGAACTGTTTAAAATACAGAACCTCTTTATTAAACACATTATTGCTTTATTTTAAGACATTTCACACTGTTGGGACACACTACTTCATCATCTGTGTTTTCAAGCTGTGATTGCAGAAGGAAGGCGACAGGAAAATAGTTCTATTTTACTGACAAAGGCAATTAGTCAGCAGGGATATAATTCTGCCCAAGAATGTCTTTTTGATTTGAATGGGACATATTTACCTTTCTAATGTGTGGTGCTGAGTTGTAATTGCTAAGTATCAGCATCCAGCTGACTAGTTCCAAAGCAGAGCTAGGAGAATAATTTGGCTGGAAACACTAATAGCAAAATTTGCTAAGCTGATTTTGTGCAGGTAGTTGAACAGTTATTTGACATTTCCCCCCCTACTGGTGGCACTTCATCAACATTCCTACATACTTATAATGGTGGTATGTTGTAGAAATTAAGTGGGAGACCATTTCCAAAGGGATTAACTCCAGAAAGCTCTGTTTGCTGGATAAGAGACATTTTGTGATCCTAATAAAATTAATTGTTGACCTCTAATTATTCAACCTTCCCTGTTAGGCTCAGTGTATTGTTGAGGTATCAGCACAAGAGCCTGTAAACACATCTGGAGCATCTGTTATGGTGGATAACAGGTCCAATTCAACAGGCTTTTTCAGAGCATGCATAGAAAATGTGGATCTGTCCAGTATGCAGCTGGAGGTGTGGTCAGTGGTGGGCATCCTTGGTCCACTTTCCAAGTGGTTATCATTGCTGCTGACAACTGGAGAAACAGGCATTTAGTCTTCTAACTGTGCAATCTGAAACAGGATTTTTTTCAAGCCCTCCTCAAGAACCTGCTTCAATGTGTTTGGAATAATAAAATGTTACTGAGGTGAGGAAGGAAGCTAGAGAAAATGGACAATTTGGTATCCCAGTGGAAAAAGATTTTTTTTTCAATGGGAAAGAATATATGAATCCTTTACTACAGTTAATATTTAGTATAAACACTCAAATAGGTAACAGCCATTGGAGCTGTTACACTTAAAGGAAAAACACTTTCAACAAGAAGGATTTAGGGATCCTTGTCCAACCCATACTCTTCAGCCTGGTTGTCAGAAAATAACCCAGAAAATATAAATTTATTTGGCTGTCAGAGAAAGATGGCAACTGAACCTAAAGTCTCTCCTCGTCACTTGCCTGAGCACAGAGAATTTTAGGTTGAAAGCATGTTGATTTTGTTGATTTTCTTTTTCCTAGAAGAGAGCTAATATAAATGTCTTTAATCTCCAAAAAGGACTCAAAATAGAAATCCCATCTGGACCTGTTATTCTTGCACCCTAGATTTAGGCTGCTAATCTCTGATAGGAGGTAACCCACTTGGTTCTTACTACTAGTTGAAATCAGTCAGATCTCATTTTTTCTTCTGTAAATCACAGCTTTGGATAAGTCGTCTGCTCTACCTCAGTGATACAGGTTTCAGGAGGTGACAAGGTGGCAAGTCCCTACAGGGACTCCTGTAGGTCCCTTCCAACTATTCTATTCTATTCTATTCTATTCTATTCTATTCTATTCTATTCTATTCTATTCTACTCTATTCTCTGCAGTGTCTGAAACATGGTGTTGCTTGTCTTCAGGATTCTCTCTGGTAATGTAAGGCCATCTCTTAGAACAAGTGTAGTACTCCAATGTCCTACTTTAATTATGCCAGAGCACTGGAAAATCCAACTGACTGCTCCTGCTGTTAGGGAAGAAATCCAGGCTGTGGTAAATTCAAATTTCAGCTGAAATCAGGGCTACACATCTTCACTGCAGTAATCTGCCACTCACTGTATCCTCTCAGAGATGAGCTGGGAACTCCAGAAATCTGCCCTAACTCTTCCTTTCAGCTCAGGTCCTTCCCCTGCTACTTGCCTTTGGTATGATGGAGCTGATCAATGCCTGGCTGCTTCCCAACTTGGGTTCCCAGGACACTGCTTGACAACATTTCTCTACTGAACCCACCTCTAGCTAAATGGGAATTCATGCAACAGAGTTGGATCCTGCCTGGCTCTGCAGTAACAAAGCAACATTACCAGCTATTGGACATCCCTTATGGAACAATGTTAACACAAATATTACTGAATTTGTGACCAAGGGACAAACAGCACTGCTGTGATCGAGTACCACTAGTCTAAATCCTAGCTGGTATCCCTGGAAAGAGCCTGGTGTTCCCCGAAAGAGAACGTTTCAGACCACAGGCTGCTTTTTCTCCTAAAATGTGGAAGAGGAGGATTTTGAAGGTTGATGTGTTTTCTGGATTTCTGTGTCTGGATGAGGATGGTAGTCCAGTGCAGGCTTGTCTGAGAGATTTTCTATGTCATGGAAGAAATGCACAAGATGGAATACATTCCTAAAGAGCAGGATGCAAAGTGGAATCTTTCAAGCAGAATAGCTGGCAAGTTGCACTAAAGGTTGCCATGTCCTGTGGTTATTTCCTGAAGAGACATTCCTAAATTAATGATCAGGAAATGCTATTAAAGCAGAATGATAGGAAAACTTGTAATTTCTGCATTACATCCCCCCCCCACTTTTAGTTCCAGAGCAATGAGAAGGCACAGCTGGGAACAGGAAGAAGGCTTTCAGTGTTGGAGATGCTGAGGAGAGGGACATTTCTCTATCAATTCCCTAAATTCTGTGGCACATGCATGATTATTTTGATATAGGGATGCCTTGAAGACAGGTGACATGTTTCAAAGTAAGAACTCCAGCAAGACCATGCAAAATGTGAGCAGCATGAACAAAATAATTTCAGTGAAAGAAAAGCTGTCCTTTTGCTTCACTGGGCTTGGATTGGACCTTTTAATGCAAGCAACTGATGCAGAACTGAGGAAGTAAGTGCTAAAAATAGCAATTAACAAGGTTATTTTGCAAAATTCTCACTGAAAACTCTGCCATCCAGCAGCTGGACACCATTCTCTTTTTTCAGACACAACTGAATAAGAGGGAGGATCAAAGAGGACTGGTAAAGTTTATAGTATTAACATAAGAAGGGGTGGAGAATTCCTAGCTGAAAACTTCTGATTGAAAAACAAAGCAGCTGAGAACATTTTCTAGCTGAAAGGCATCTTGCTCCTAAAGTGATACAAGTGTTTTTGAAACTTTTAATCTATTGTATCCTTGCTAAAGGAATTGGTCATCTGCTCATTTTAACTGTAAGAACATCTTTGTATCTTGATGGCTTCATCTATAAAAGTGTATATTAAAAATGTCAGAAGAAAACCTCCTTTCCCTAAAGTCATATATGACCATTACTGCAAATGTGTAAAATCAACTAATATTTTGGAGTTTACCTCATCTCCAAGTCTTCATTTTCTTGTGGTACAAATTTGTACAAGGCAACATAGGTGTTCATTTGTAACGTGCTTTTATAAAATGGTCCCTTTAAAAAAAAAAAAAAGAGAAAGAGAAAATTTAAATATCTGCTCTGTAAAAGAATTTGGTTCACTTTGTTACAGACAGAGGAACCAGAACCTGATCTTACAATAAATTATCCAGAATCATCTCTCTGCTCTCACAGCTTGGAGGTCTATGGCCCAGGTACATTGCAAGCCATTAATGCAGTAACTACCTTAATTTAGAAAGAAGATTATTTGAACTTGAAGATCAAATTCCAGGCTTCCAAAGAACGCAAGCAGAAATTTGCACTGGCTGCTCTTTGGGACAAGATCTCAAAAATGAGTGTGTATTTTTTCTCTCAGTAGTACATATGGTAGCTCTTACAAGCCCAGTAGTGTAGTATTGGCATTATGTAAGGTGTCTAGTCTACAGTTCTCATTATGGATGGAGCTAGAATTGTACAGTGCACAGGCCCAAATTCAGAGCAGGAAAATAACTTTTTAAAGTGAATTTAATATGTGAAAGCTTTTTGCATTGGGTTTTCAACAGAGAAGACTGGCTTCTCTCTCTTCTCACTTTTTCCACTGTTAATCTGGGGGAAAAGCAAGAAAAAAAGGCAGCTAAAGCAAACACTAAATAATTTTCAAAATCAAATCTGTGATTTTTACATGATGGGAGTTCTATTGTAATTACATGGCCTGCACACTGGATCTTTTGCAATTCCAAATCAATTTGCAATAAGCAGAAAAACATAAGGTGATTACAAAGGATAAACCAAACAGCCATCCAGTAACATGTATTGCTTCCAGCTGTGGCCAGTGGCCCAGAAATGGTGTAAGAACATGACTGTCAGATATCAGTGACCTATCAGACCTAGTCAAGGTCCTCAGACAGCCATAAAAACAAATGTTTTACATGACTTCCCATTACCATTGCATCAGCACAAAATTTATGCTCATACCGGGGAATGTATACTTTTTGGTTCTTCTCCAAAGTGTTCTGTGCCATTTTCAGAGTATGTAAACACTGAAATAAAGAAAACACATGACATTTTAGGAGTAGTTTAAGACCCTTCACCTGAACAGGATCACCTGGACTTGTTAATCTCTTCCCTTTCTCCCTTATTTTCTTTGAGTCCTTGTGGTCTCCTCTGAGCCCTTCTACACTCCCAACAAAACCTCAGATGTCATTGGCAAATGACACAATCTCTGTCCTGCAGAATTTACAAGTGTAACAAACAAACCATTTTGATCAGATGAATGCACACAAGTACAGCACTACGAACAGAACCCAGGTACTGTAAATGCATTACTATTTAAAGCCCAGCAGGCTTTTTCTCACGTTCAGTACTGGATTGTCATGTGTAGGATAAGCAGTATTACCATTTTAAAGCACCTGCAAAAGCTGATGATCATATATGAGAAATACTGAGAAAGTTTGTACACAAAACCTCTTCCTTCCCCTCTTTGATCTCTAACTCCGAGCGTTTGATAGCCTTCTTTGGCCCCTCTCTCCACTAGTCCATGGAGTACACTGGATACACTACTTCTCTCTCTGAATTTACAGGAGGTAACTGAATTGTTTTCAAATCAGGGTAGGTAAACTCAGACACAGGCCTGTAGATGTAAAAACTTGCTTTTAAGTCACTAAATCAGAAATTCATAGAATAAGACAACAGTCACAGCACCTAATATACTTGATAAGTAATCAGTTACCCTCCATTGCAATTAATTCATGAGCTGACTGGTACTCGTCCTCAGTTATCTCCCTAGAAAAAACACAGTGTCTTTATCCTTTTGACTGAATTCCCCCTTCACATTTTAAGAATTGCCCTTGTGTTTCTTGCTTCTTGATAAAGTCTGAATATGATTTTTTTAATAGCTGGAATCTTTGAGCAGTTAGAACCATCAATGTGTTCTGTTGCCATTTACTTCTGTAAGTGTTTTGAGGAGAAGCTGGACTTTATAGCCTCTAAATTTGGCAATCTCCAAAGTGGTAGTATCAGGTCACTTGGGGGTATTTTCTTTTTGTTTCTCTGGCATACAGTTACATGTATTTAGGGGAAAAAAGGACCAGAGAACACCAATCCTCTGAATTTTTCTCCTGTTTTTTCACTTGCTTGTCCTTTACTTCATTTACACATATTTCTTGGACTAGTCTACATGGTAGGTGACAACCTACCAGAGTCTGTGGAGAAGCTTTATGAAGGAAATAGTAAGGTTCTTTGATAGTAGAGAGTTGTACTTGGATATTGAAAAACATGACAGTGCTCTTGTAACAGATAAAAGACAAGTGAAACGGCAGCCACAACATGCATGAGAAAGATTTGGTACAAAGTGACAGGCATTCATGAGCACACACATCTTCTCTGACAAAATGTAAGGCAATGTTGTAGTCATGAAGTTCAATCTGTGAATGTGAAGGGAGCATGTGAGCTGATACCTGCCACGCTTAAGGTGAAAATGTCAACACAAGTTGTGTCTGGCTGTCCTGACCGCAGTGGACCTGAGGCCCCAATATGCTCCTCACCAAGTCCTGCTGCAAAGGGACTCTGACCCTGCAGACTATCATAGATATGAGAATGAAAAGCTTAGAAATAAACCTAATTTACTGCATCATTAATATAGGGGTATATACATGTCTGGCATCTGTATGAAGGGGTTTAAAGTGCTGTTATTACAGATTGGCAGGGTTTAAGTCCTACTCAAATCACTATGCTTTGCTTTTCATGTTCAGAGGAACAGGAGTTAGGAGGCAAATTGAAGATGTTCTGGTGAGAACTGAGTTGGGTAATCAGGAGCCTTTTGGACTTGCAAAAAGTCATTCACCAGAGAAACTAAAAGTATTTCAGCTTCCTGTCTGGAGCAATTTCTGTTTGGTGACAGAAAATAAAGCAAGTGACTAATGTACAGCCTCGTGAACTGTGGAGCTGACCCAGCACACAGAGAGGCGGCTGAAATGTGTCCTTGTGTTGGCTGAGAAGCGCTCTTCAAAACTGGGCTTGCAGGGAGGATATCCCATATTTGATTCAAGGGGAAAGTGCTCAAATCACTGTTGATAACAGGCTCACAGATGTCACCTGAAGTACATTTTGGCTATTGGGACAGATAGTAGGTCACAGCATGAAAGAGTCTAACTGGCTTAGAGGAGGCTGAAGGGCTGGAAATTAAGTATGCCATCTCACAGTTGTAAACTGGGAAGCTTTGCTCCATGGGATTTGTGCCAGGGCCTGAATGAAAGAGTCTCCCCTTGAAGTTGTTGTCATAGGAGTTCTACGGGGAAAATTACATGGCCATGCATGTGCTGTGTCCTTTTACCCTTCTTCAGGCTGTCTTTTCTGCTGTTTCCCTTTACCAAAGAGCATCAAATATACATTTTCCCAAATACTTATTTGTAGAACAGTATTTTAATAGGAAAAAAAATAACAACACAAACTTAACTGGAATGGACCTGAGTCATTGAGGCATTAATGTGCAATTTCTTGATAAAGAAGCAGTGGACAACTGAAGAAAAAGGAGTCATGAGTCACTTTGTAAAAACATTTTGAATGTACTTATATTTTTAATCTATGTTTAGTTTGTGGTGTCTGGATGTTAATAGGAGGCAATTGAATCTGAAAGCCATAGAGGTATGTTGTTCATATCTCCATACAACAGAAATCCATCTATTAAAAAAGGAAAAAAAGAAAGGAAAAAACCAGGGATTTTTACATTCTGAAAAAGATTTTACCATTTCCATAGCTTGTGCAAACAGTGCAGGCAGTTTATTAAAAATCTACCAAGAAGAAATTTTTGGAGTGACTGATGCATAATTTATACTCTGAGCCCCTAAAGGATGGATTGTAAAAAAGCCAGTGCTGATCAAAGGAATCGTTAATGTGCCGAGGAAGTTATTTGGAGGTTTGACACATGCTGAGTTTTTAAACTAATCTCTTTAAGTAAGTTCCTTGAATGCTTTTCTGTGCATTCAGTGAATACAGATTTCAGAGAAAAAAAGTTTCTTTGGGTTTCAGAAATGAAACTATTGACTTGCAAAAAAATAAAAAGTCATCTGAACATTCAAACAGGGTCAATTCAATCTCAAGTGGCCAGGATTAAACAATGTAGTGCAGACTGAATTCTCTATCTTTAACCAGGTCAGGTCAACTTGCACTTGCAAGACAGAAAACTTAATAAAAATTTCAGGAGAAATCAGGTAATATGGATGAGATATTCACAAAACAAGAGGAAGGAAATGACAGAACACCATGAGGAGAGGTGATAGGACCAAGAGGGGAGGAAAGGAGTAAGGAGGTGGCATAATATAGGAACAGACAGCTAAAGCTGGCCTTTCACCTACATGAATTAGTAGCAGCATGTAAGGAGCACTGGGGGTACCACAAAGAAAAAAAATTATGCTCAGTGTGGTTTGTTTTTGTTCTATACATCTTGTGAGATTCAGCAAAACAGATTTCAGGTGCTGTTAGAGAAGTTGCCATGATGGTTTGGGCCTGAGTTTGTGCTGAGCAACAACTCCTTCTGTGCATGACTTCTACTGCCATGGCTGAATTCAAGAACGTGGTCACAAACACCAACTCTTGGTGGCTGAGATTTCATTACTAAACCCTTGATGCTATGATGGTTTTCAAATCCCATCAAACCAAAGCTGCAAAAAGATTACTTTTGTACTGCAAATCAAACAAAGGAATTGGGCCGTTAATATTACTGGGTGCATACTACAGTTGTACTGAGAAGATGCAATTATAATCAAAATTCACTGTGTTGTGTATTTTACAGACACAAAGATCTTTCATGATTAGTTTTTTGTCCCAAAGAGGTTATGATATACAAAATCATGTGGAAAAATCAAACATATGGAAAAGAAAGTATTTTTTTGGTTCCACTTTGCCAATGTGGAAGTGAAGCATGTTAAGTCTACAGTCATGATCATGAAGTAAATATAGGAGACAGGGAATAGACCTGAACCTTGTCCAGTTGCACTTTTGGACACACCACATTAAGGAAGGTAGTGGCTTCCATTTCATCTGAATGGCAAAAAAGCATTCCCCAGATTTTTTGCACCAACTCACCCCCTGCTTTGGAAACCAGAACACTGCTAAAACCTGTCCATGCCATAACCTCTGCTCTGAAACAGGCTGTACATGGGCCTTTTCACCCAAGGGGGCTGTCCTGGCCTGGGGGCACTCACCACTGTTGCTGCGTTTTCTGCTTAGGTCGAGGGTGCCTGCAGAGCTATTGCCTTCCTCAGGAACTTCTACCAAGTCAGCTGTCTGCAGGGACAGAAACAGCACATGAGACAGGATAAATCAGAAAAAGGGACCAATGAAGTGAAATAAAACCACAGCAAGGACCTTTGGGAAACGCAGTACTTGAGTGGTGAGAGAGCAGAGCAGAGTCAGCCTAGCGGGATGGGAGGAAACATTGGATCTGATGATGCACAGCACATACCTACGGCACAGGGAGCAGTGGAAGCCCTGACAAAAAATTCCAGACCAAGTTTGGAGTCTGGAGCACAAAAGATTTCTGCAGTATAAAATAAAGTGAAAGTTAAGGAACAAAGGATTATGTTGAGCAATGTGCTTCTCTGAACAAAACAGAATGGGCACGAGGGGATTTGCAGATTCTGCAGGTATACCAAATAGCTATCATCCAGGGAGACTGAACACTAGTTGAAACTACTGAATTTTAATATGCCAGTCCCAAATACATTATTCAGTAAAGTAACTGTAATGTAAGGGTCATTTTAATTCTGTTAAAATGCTGTAAAAGAAAGAGCTAGAGTGCAATGAAGTGGATGAAGTCAGTCTTTAAATATCTGCCCTCACTTTCTTTTTAAACAGTCATCTGGCCAGTATGGTTAGGGAAATTGAAACCTAAGTGTTGCTTTTAGAATTACTATGATTTCTTTTCTGTACCATATTAATGTCAGTCATGATTAGGGACCCAGTGTTCCAGGGCATAGGAAAACGTGGGATGACATAATCTCAAGCCTCAGAAGTATACTCTGCATACAGATTCCTTGGTTGGGTAGTCAGCTTCTCCTTGTATAGCCCAACAGGAATTAGGAGCTGCTCCAAACAACTCTGTGCAAGTCTGACCTTAACAAAACTAGAGAGTTCAGTTGTTGAACTCTCTACATCTTTGATAACCAGAAAAAATCCAAAGATTGAACTTGAGTCAGGTGCTTTCTCTAATCTGAATAAATGTAAATTTATTCCAAATCATCTTTCCCAAGATTAACTTTTTTTCCAGCTCACAGATTTTAAGACACAAGAAGGATTTAATGTTATTGTATGACACTTTACGATTGTACTGTACACACAGTTTGCTCTATTGCTTTGCAGTCCTGTGCCTGTATCACAGGAACATTTCTGTTTTTGTTCAGGGAGCAGAATCTGACTTGTTTTATAGATTTTACATGTTGTTTTGTTCCCCTTTTACTAGTGTTGACAGCAAAGCTTTTTTTAGAAAGTGCTTTCACAATTTTCTTTCTCCTATCCAGTACTTTCCTAGCTATTTCTCCACGAAGGAAACCAATGAACAAAGGGGTTGAAACCAGATTTGTGCCACAGGTGTCTTGTGGCTATCTTGTTTCCCTTGCTATCTGAAGAATATATACTTTACTTTGCTGCTCTGTTGCTCCTTGTTTTTAGACTCAGCCTTTTGCAGCAGGTCATGTTTGTCTTGCATCTTGCCCAAATAGGCCACCCGGGGATGAGGACGTATTGCAATAGCAAAGTTTACACAGATCCAGTGCAGAGCATATCTATGGATTCTGGTTGCTGGATGGAGAAGAGAAAGACTGGCTTTGTTGAAAGACTACATCCCAGAGATTTTTCAGCTCATTGCTACAATATGTTCCTCAGTTTTCACAGATTAGCTTCATTATTGCTGATTACCAATTAATATTATTTTGTTAAGTTCTAGTGCATATGGGATGTGTAGTGACTGTCTCTTCAGTATTTACTTCATCCAAAACCTTCTGAGGCAACCTCATTTACCCTTAATGATTTTTCACTGAATGACTACGTGACAAATGGTCTAATAGAAATGATAGAGGTGCAAAGCTGCTTTTGAGAGGATCTGCTCCACAAAAAACTAACAAGAACTAGATTCACATTTGCATCACCTCAAGTGCCTTTTTGTATAAATGTGGGTTGCAGAAGCACAGTTTTGAAGCAAGCAGTAGGTAGTAAATCTGGAGCATATGGCCACTTTCTTTTATGGGAAATGCAGAATCCGGGCGGAAAAATCAATGAGTACGTCCACACAGCTCAGTCATGTTAAAAATACTTTGGCTAGTTTAGAGGAAGGTGGCTGTCTCTGCAGAGAGTAGAGGCTGTCTACATGAACTACATGCAGTATGGCAGTTTCGTGGCTGTAGGGGCAAGGTACAGCTCCTAAGCCAGTCACCTTTGCTTTTCATCACCTTCAGCAGGAGCACCTCTGTTGTGCTGACCCACAGCAAGGCCTTGGACAGCTTGGACACCACCTGCAAGGTGAAGTACGGGTGTCCCCACGTCCCTGGTGTCCCTAGTTTGGTGACATGGCAGAACCTTGAAGCACATCCCATCTCCCAGGGCGGGGAGTCAGCACAGCCTCACAGCTGCATTGCTGCTTCTGCTTGCAGAGGAGCAGAGCAGCCCAGAAGTGAGGATCACTGGGGAAAGGTCGTAGTCCCTCTGACCCCTATTAACTACACATGCTTCTAAGGGATCTGTGCCACATCCTTGTACAGCCACTGGTCAGTATCTAGTCCCAGGTCACACACCAGTTTTAAAGGTCCTCAGCTCCATCATTTCGTTCAGGGTTGTGTCTACCCTGTTTTTTTATCCTTGTCTTGATCCACAAGCTTGTGCTGGCAAAATTTATGGTTTCTCAGGTCTGCTTATTCAATTCTCTAATGTGCTCTATTTCCTGTATGCTGACACATGTTACATTCTCTCTCAGCTTCAATACCCTGGAGAAATTCCTGTAATGAGCTTGCGTTCCCAATTCTACGCCCACACCCCACCTAGTTATGATCTGCTCCCTAGAGTAAGCTGACACAGCATTAGTGATTTCTGTGCTCGAGTTTTCATTTATAATTCAACATAAACTTTATTGATTTAGAAAGCAATAATTACATTTGTAGAAATTTTGTTTCAAAGGAAATTAAATAATTGAAAGAAAGAAATGTAATAATGCGACAGAAGGTAGAGTCACTTTGGGTTTAAAAAAAAAGGGAATTAGCAAATTCCTTTTAAGGCACAAATGGGGGTGGATAGAGGACATGTCCTTTAATAAATCTCTTGCAGACTTCATTTAGTTCTTGCTTAAGTGAGTTTGTTTTCTTTCCCATCTGACATAAATTGGTGTCTGTTTAGAGTCCACCTATATCACCTGAGACTACAGGTGAGCCATGTGAATGAGCATGCATTTAAATGCCAGGGAAATGTTGTAACAAATATATACAGATATTAGCATGACTTGATATTAAGCATATAAATATTTGCTTTGAGACCTGGAGACCAACTCTCATCATGTCTCTATGCCCAGTGATTTTTCTTATGAGTGTGAGCAGAAGAGGTTGTCAGATAATGTGTGCCTGATTTTTAGAGATGACAATCAGCTTTAGCCTCCAGTGGATTCAGGCGTGGTTTTCTTTTTATGGTTATTTTTTTGAGGGAGGGGGAGGGATGGCATGGGGAGGATCTCTTGGGAATAGAAGAGAACCTCAAACATAGGTGTGAGTGCCTGCTTATGAAGGCTGAGAAGGTAGGAAATGTTCTTTCAACGCCATGAAGGAGCTTCTGATCTTGTGGATCCCAATACTAGGATAAGGAAGAAATTGGCAATTTTTTACTGTTGAACAAGGCATGGATATAGCAAAGGCAAGGCCACGGGAACTATCACTTTCCTTGTTCTCTACCTCTTCTGCCACAGTCCTTAAGACAGTGACTTTTATGATTGGAGGGAGTGAATGACAAACATTACGCTAAAACCTCCCTGTCTGGATAGAACAGTCTTATCACACCTGTCTGCGTTTGGGGTTTGGAGAGAGAAGCCCCGGTCTGTAATGCCTCCCTCACAATTCTGCACTGGAAAACGGTGGAGGTCCCAGTCCCTTGCTTTGCTGCAGTAGCAGTGTCTTAATATTTTCTGGGCTTGTACTGGGAAAATGTACTTTTAAATCTAGGTTCTGAGGACTCCAACTCATCGTTATCACTTGTATGAAGGGCAAACGGCCACCATCAACAATGGGCACTATGCATCTGCTCCAGCCTGACAGTTCAATATCTCAGTTACCCTTCTAAATGGATATGCAAAATAAAAAGATGAATATTTCCTTTTCCAATCTGATAAAAACAGTTTACTAATTTAATTAGCATTTTTCTCTTTTTCTCAAAAGTAATCTAAAAGATGCATAAAACTTGAATTTGCAAAGCTAACAAATTTTCTGGTCCCTATATGAAGCTGAGAGTAAGATTTTAGGGTTTTTTTACGGTTTGAAATACAAGTTTTGTGAACTCTGACACAATCTCACGTGAATGATTATCTGTTGCTCCTCCAGAAAGAAAATGGAAGAAAGATGTGGGATACTTACAGAGTTTCTGTTGGGAGAGTCAGACCCACTTCCAGAACTTCCCTTTTTGGTTTTCTGGGCTAAGGAAGTCCCAAAGCGAAGAGTTTCATACACAGGGTCAACCTTATTTCCACAGGCTGCAACAGAAGGAGCAAAACATGCATCAGTCAATCAATACCTTGAGGATATCTTCCTGCTTAACTTGGAGCAACACATGCCTCTACCAAGAGGTTGAGCTGTATGCTTAGAAACTATTTGAGAGACCATGCTGGTAAAAAGTGAGTGTTGAACTTAATGGAATTGCTATCAATTTTCTGCTGCCTCTCTACTCCCATAAAGATCATCCTCCTCTCACCCTGGCTCTTCCATTCTCGGCCATTGCCTTGTCTCTCTTCACCCGCCATTCTCCTCCCCTAACCATCACTGGTGCCACCTATGTGGTGATAAAGAAGACAGATCACCAGGAGGTTCTAATCCATGTTTGTCTCTACCAGTGACTTCTTGGATTGCTCTCAACAGTGGCTTTCCCTCGTAGCTAGCCACAAAAATAATCTCCCATGGAAGAGAAATGGATGTCTTTGCTGGAAACAAGAAAATCCAGTTCAAACTCTCTTCTACATCATGCATTCTTAGACCTCAACTTCCCTTGTGACACAAGGCTGTGGGCATGTAGAAAATGGTACATTTGTAGAGCTATGCACAAAGAGGGAAATTTTAGCCAAAGTACCGAGAAAGTGCAACAGATTTTGGATTTTGATTGGAGGAAAGCACACGTCATTTTTTAGCCAGAGTTTATTTGAAATGTTTCTATTACTTCTGATAAAAATGATGGGTGTTTTTGAGAAAGAGAAACTTAGATGAAATCATTGTAATTAAGTTTTTTTTTAAACTGATGACATGCAAGTGTCATCAGACAAGTAGTTTTAAGCGGACTGCTCAGTTTTAGCTTTGATTTTTTTGCACTTCCAGGTCTGCCTGGTTAGAGTACTGGTGGGGAAAAATATTTTCCAGAATAAACTTAACTTCTCCATTTCAAAATGTTTCTTTTCAGAAATTTGGTATTACAGTGAGGAGCAAGTAGTCTTTCAAGTACTCAGACAATGTGTAGACATGATCAATAAGGAAAAATATGAGGAAAGTAAGAAATATGGATGAAAAAGGACAGGAACCTAGCAGCTCCCTCAAAAGCTGGACCAGTGATTTGAATGCCCCCTGCTATTTTGATCTCCCTGTCTTTTATCCATTTTTTCCCAGCTCAGACCCTCATTTCAATATTTCAGCGCTCCTTCACTTCTAAGTTCCTACCTTGATCTCAGGTACTTGTTCTGATAAGCAGGGTAAGTGCTAAGAGGTATGCACACAGGGTTTTGAGTGAAACACACAATGAACACACCCTCTCCTCTTCCAGCTTTGTATCTTTGAAGTGATCCTTTCCTGAGGTGGCAGAAGGGCATCCAGTCACCGAAAGGAGCTGGACGGCTGCTGAGGGTAAAGACCATGGCTGGAATTCTGCTGCTGCTGCTGCAGAGCATTGCCAAGGGAAGACTGAATGGAAAAGCAGTCAAAACCTACCAATAGGCATCACTTCTTTGATGCAGCCAAACTGTTCGTGAATGAGTAGTGGCGAGCTGTAGTACCGGCGAAATCCCTTTGGCTGGAGGGAGAAAAAACAAAAATGATTGAAGTGCATTGCTTGCCTTGAGTGATGAAATAGAAATAGCCTCAGCTCTTTGGTTAATGGTGGAACATTGTGGTGAGGTTGGAAATTTGCCTCCTGTTGTTCAGTCACTGTGAGGTTTAGAGATCAGATGTTTATTTGATTTTTTTTGCCTAGAAAAAACCCAATTTCCTATATTTATGTGGAAGGAGGGGCTAATTTTCAGCTCTCTTTTTTCTTTTGTCTTACACAAAAGCAAAACTAATTAATTGCAGCAGAAGTGCTGAATCATTAGAGATTCTGGGAAGTTTCTCGCTCCCTATCTTCTTATATAATGTGAATTTGCATTGTATTGTATTTGTTAAACATGTGACTATCCTTCCCCACCCTAACTCCAAATCCTCATGCTCCCACATACACATATGTGAAACCCAAGAAATTTAGAACCTTCCTACAGGTTTTTCTAAGGTTTTCTGCTGACTGACTGCACCTTCCACTCCTTTTTTTTTTTTGTTTTTTGTGTCTTGTAAGGTCAAGAAGCTCTCTAAACTGTTATCAGATATTCCCATAGTGCCGATGTGTAGAAAAATGCACCATAAAAACTCAAGCTATATCATTAAAGAGTGCCATAATATGGCAAATAATGTTGCCTATACTGCTCTAAAAAATGTATCTCAATTCAGGCAAAATTTAGTACTCAAAATGAATGCCTTCAAGACATTGGAATTTCACAAATGCTCTCTCCAATTTCTAATGTCTGCAGGCTGTGAGAACTTCTAGTCACAGTGAGACGTGAGGAATATTTGAAGAGATGTGTGTATTTTCCATATCCTCTGTTCAGCGTCCATCAAAACCTGATAGACAACTAGTTCTTCAGGTAATGAGCTGCAGAAAGGACTGAAAAAGACTGAGGTGACTGGTAGTCTTGGAGTCTTAGAGGAATAAATTCCAGATTCCTCAGCCTTTGTCTGCACCCAAGCTAGATTCAGAGCATCAGCATGAGCTCACAAAACTCCTGTGACTCTGCTGACAACTTCCTGATGTAAATATGGTCTCTCTTTTTTTGTTTTTGTAAACTAGTAACCACAAGAGCTGAGGCTGGAGTCAAGACATGCACGAATCAATTAACATGGGACAATATTTGCCTTGTCCAGGGCTTGTCATTCAGCTCTTCACAGACCAACTTCCTATACCGGAATGCCTCATACTAGAATTATGATTATGGTTTAGATACACGAAGACTTGGGGATGTAAACAACAATAGCTTTCAGTGAGCCCTCTTGGACAGAAAAGATCTTTCCAGTGAAAGGTGAGGTTTGTAGCACTTTTGAAGTCAGTGCTTGCATTTTCCCATCACTTAACACAGTAAAACTGTTTGGTTTTAGCTCAGTAGTCTCAAGTGTCTACAAGTCACAACAAATCTGAGAACATCTGAAACATGAATCTATGTATCATTCACTTTTCATATTCCAATTGGTATTATTCCAAGTTCTTTTTCCAAAAGTAACCAGAAGGAACCATAGTCCCGTAATAGTCAACAAGGTGGGTTAGAATTGTCTCAGACATAGTCTACTGCCATTGCCAACCACAAGATTTTGCTGCTTAGAAGGCAATCCAGGCACTAAAGTGCTGTGTCCTTACAGGGACAGGCTCTCCCAGCCCCTCCTGCTGAGACATTGCTTCAAACTCTGCTGTGTCTTACTGCAAAATATCCCTTGGTTTTCTTTTTAAGGTAAATTATGTTTTTTTATTCAAGCCCTAACTGTGGAGGAAACAATAAAACATAATTTGGAGGATTTTTCATTTTTTAAATCCTACTGAAATACTATGATTAATTTATAGCATTCTTTGAGAGGTTTACACTACAGCAAGCACTGTTGAAATCAAAGTAATTAATTTTGTTAGCTAGCTAAATTTGTATTCTGTAACTGTATTTTCACATCCACAAAGCAGACTGGATTTGTGCCTTGGTTTTGTTTGCATCCTTGTGCAGCAGCAATCGCCAAAACTGACAGCAGGGCACCACCTGGCTTCGCTTTTCCCGCCTCAGTAAAGCGACCTGGTATGGGTTCTGTTAATGCAGCAGCTAAATGCACACCTGGGGTTCAGGCACACAAAAATAGCTCCAGCACAAGCTGCCCTGGGCTGCTCACTTACCAGCTTGCCCATGCACCGCTGCTGCCCAATACTGTCGGCACACTTGTGGTGGATGCTCATCTTGCACGCCTTACAGCGCAGTCCGTGCTTAGCGTTCGTCCCTAGGAAACACACAGCAAAGATTGAATTAGACAAAATCAATAGTTTCCATCCATTTAAACAAGTGACCTGAAAGAGCTGATGGGGTCAGTTGTGGTAGAGCAAATACTGGCAGCATTCATTGCCTTACCTGCTTTTAAAAATGCACATTCGTACACCCGTTTTCCTTACAGCCTCTCCATTTTAGACATTTGTCCCCCAGGCTCTTTCCCTTTCCCTGTTGCTGCCTTTAGATTTATATCAGATTATGCTCTGCTATACAATAATCTGACCAATAGTGTCTCTGCCTCATGAACACCAAGAAAAACCCCTCTGTTATTTTGAAAGGTCTTGGCATGGCTGTGCATGGCTGAGGGAGCCACTGAAGGAGCATCCAGGCTCTGGAGCAGCTCTGGGGAGCTGGGCCATCAGTGGAGGCCCAGGTTTTGTGGATGAAGTTAGCTCCAGGCATATGTGAACGGGTTAACCCATCTCTTAACCCATCTCCTTTGCCATTTCCCACTCACAGGCAAGCACATCCCTGTTTGTGTGGTTTCTTTTTCCTGCGTGGCTGCTCTGGATTAGTGTGCTGTGAGGATTTTTTCAGTTATAGTTTCTTTTCAATTACACATGCTCAAAACAATACTGACAATTGCTCCCAGGGACTGCTGCTCTCACCATCCTAGGCCAGTGCTCAGAGGGTGCAGGAAGGGCTCCTTGCATGTCCCTGAGTGGGGCAGCGAGGGTGCCACAAATTTGACCATACTCTCCTCCCTTGTCAGTAGAAAAGTTACGTGTCACAGGTAGGGGAGCTACAGCAGAAATTTGGCTTTAAAGAAGCAGAATTCTCCCACTAGGCCAAATGTAGTTCTGTATTAGCTTCAGAGAGGACCTACTCTTAAATGACAGACCCAAGTCTGCTTGCTTCCAGGCAGGAACAGTCACTTTTATTCATACAACCATAACACTTCCTAAACTATGAAGAAGCAGCAATGCTGCAGCAACTCTTTTATCCCTTACAGGACTGTGTAAATGGAATGAGTAAACAACATATCTGTTCATTATATCTACTGTGAGAATTAGTATGAAATGAGGTTAATAAAAAATCCTAAAAACTCTTGACATTTTAACCAGCCCTCATTAGTCAGGCATGATAAATATTAGTCAGAAGGATCCTGCATCTGAAAGTACTCATTGAGCTCACTGGTTATGTACATGCTGTCAGTTTCATTCAGTGAAGTGCTACCTCAGAAAGAAGCACTTCAGGGAAGGTTTCATCAAGTTGTTGCCAAAACCCAAGCCTTGTGTTTCACTTTCAGAGGAAGAGGTGTCTGAAGTGGCCACTTGCAAGCCAGGTAAGGCAGGCTGAGGCAGCCATGGGTTGTTGCAGTGAGCCAGGCTCAGATGTTTTACCTGTGTGCTTCCTTTAGGACAGGGAACCAAGATCCTCCCCACTTCCCTATATAGACTGCTGGAGTGATAGAGACTGAATGGGGTTGAGTGTGGGGTGTGCCCCAGGGTCTTCAAGGGAATGGGGTCAGTGCCTGCTCCCCACTTTTAGCAACAGTGAGTGCAGACATGCTTTCTATCCTCTTTTTCTGAGGTCTTTTTTCCTAGCAAACACAAGATTTCTTAGAAGAACACATGTCTGTTTATTTGTTTCTTTTTCCTGCATGGTTGTACTTGGATTAGTGCGCTGAGAGGATTTTTTCAGTTATAGTTTCTTTCCAATTACACATGCCCAAACCAATATTGACTTCTGTGGCTTTGTGCTTTTATTACTGATGATGAAATGCTGAATCACCCTTCCTGGTGATCAACAATTGGCACTGAAAAAAGAGTAGTTCCCTCACAGTTTTTCATTGTATTTATAGGGCAGAATGAGAAAAGGAAAATGACATCACAGTTGGCCTATGCAACACGTCAGTGCTTACACCAGGTCTAATTCTCCTCTCATGCTGCTCTGTACCAAGGTACTCCTAAGATTTAGCTGTGAAGAGGCGGACAGGCTCACAGGCAGACAGTCCTTCCTGCTGGCTATGTTAGGCTTTTCCAGCCATTTTAATGCTAACTTAACAAGGTGGATGTTGGTCCTTACATGTTAAAAGCGTGTGATCACAGAAGATACACATTTGTCAAAACAATTGTGCACCCAAATGATGTGCAAAATGAATGTGAAGCCTCAGAGTTGCTTTCAAAAATCAAACCCCCAACTCTTTCAGAATAGGAGTCTGTGGTCATGTGAAAATGAGTAAGACAATTACAAAAGAGCAACACTGTATTTCCATTGCTGAGTGCCATATTTTTATATCTGAGTAGCTAAGTAGTGGCTTCAAAGAGGGGAGAAGTATTTCTGTCACACACTTGAGTCTACAAGAAGGCTTTGTAAATCAAAATGAAACCCCTGTAACTACCAAAAGCTCCAATCTTCAACCCATTTTCAGTTCTAACTACTTGGTTTACAGTGGGGCTAGCTTGGAAAAACTTCCCTGCATCTCCCTGCCTCCCACTGAGGAATAACTACAGAGCTTGAAGAAGAATCTTTTATGCTGTATTTATGCTTAACCACCTTATCTCAAGCTCATTACACTAAGTCACTCAGAGAACTATGGCTAAGCTGTTTCAAAACTAGTGCATGCCAGGAATGAGATAACTACATACTGGCAATGTACCTGACCCAAAAGTTTCTGAGATTCAGAAATAAGGCACAATCACAGCTCACATCACAGATAAGAGATTGCATTCAGTACAGGTGTAAATGAGACCAGGGTTTGACTCATTGCATCAATTTCTGGCCTCCTATTTATGCACACTTATTGACCATGCAGATGCCTGAATGGGGCAGGTTTTAGGAGATATCTGGTAGTTTAAAATCGTGAAAAAGCAGGAAGAACACAGATCTTGAAAGGATGTTATTTAAAGCTGAATGAGTACAGTGACAGTTCCACAGTCATGCACTGGTATAAGAGAGTTATTTCATTATGCCTAAAGTAGTGGCACAGGATATAGCAATGTGTTGAAACATCATTTCCCAATAAATTCCCCTGGAAATCATAAGAAAGTTAGGAAATTGGTCTGAACAAACATTAAATACTAGAAAATAAGTGGTATTAATGACTCATAAAAGTAAAAAAAAAAATAAATTACAGTGACAAAGATAGTAACAATAATAGCAATAGCTACAACAACACAATAGAGACTATTTGAGGATAATTTTCCTTTGTTGCCAGAGGGTACCAGGCCTTGTTTGAAGCTGTAAGCCTTTCTGTGGCGTGCTTACTCCCACTGGGTTAATCTTTTTGTGGATTGAAGCATAGGGCAGGGGAAGGGTAAGGAGAGGGTTCACACATGAGCTGGTTAAAGCACTGTCTGGAAGGTGCAGTGTTCCAATTAGTGAAATCTCAGACACTAACACAGTCTCCTCTGGGACATGTGCTGAGCACACACTGATGATCTGCAAGCCTGACCATCGCTGTCTAGGTTGATTTCTGTCCCCTTAAATAGCTGATGGTTTGATTGCAGCCCACTGTGTATTCCCACCAGCAGATATTCCCCTATACGAACCTTAAAGCAAAGCTGGAAGCTACTGATGCTCACATGCAGTAGTCACTGCTTATCTTAGTCCACCTGGAATAATTTCAGTCAGTGGTGGATCAGAAATATGGGAACTGAAGGCTTTACAATTAAGCTTCACTTGGAGTAACCTAACTACCTTTTTCTCTGGTTTTCACTCAAAGGGGGGAGTAAACTAACAGCTTTGATAGCTTTGCTATTACCTTTAAAAAGTAATCATCCCTCCTACCTTCTGCTCCAAAAACCCTTACTAAGGTTACTTAAACTGGTTGGTAAATACTGAGCAGGACAGAACAAAGTTCTGCTCAGTTGCTTTTTGGTTGCTGTCTGGGGATGTGATTTTCACTATTTTTATTCAAGGCACACTACTTCTTCATTCACCAAACAGAGCAGACAGTGTTTGATGAATGGGCAGTTCTATTTAACATTTATTTTCTACTTTCCTCAGTCAGTGTGTGTCTTAAGCATCATCTCTTGAGTCCCATGTTACCTTATTCCAAATACAAAGTGATTAACGGTCTCATGAGTTTTCTTATGGGCTCACTGTCTTTGTCCCTTGCCAAAACTTGTATGAGATGTCTCTCATTTAGGGGAATAAGGGGTAAAACTGTCAGAGGTTGCACTAATATTATTTTGGCCCAGATGCTGGTTTTTAAGTTATAAAAATTGAAAATTCGAAAAGTGGGAATTTAGAATGGAAATTACTGGACATGTTTAGCTGACTTATAGCGTTCATGATCACTTAACGCGTCCTCTTTGGTCAATGAAGTAGTGTCTCTGTGGTCATGAAATTCACACAGAGAAAAAAACCACACAGACATTAGAATAAATGTCCTCTGCGTCCTAGTCATTAATGTATCAACTATCTCCAAGTCTGTAGAGGCTGGTATTCCTTTTTCAAACAGTAAAAAAGGCAAAACTGACAAAAGAAACAGTATTTCACTGGAAAAAAAAGAGGACATTTCAGGCCAGAATACTGAGTAGGTCTTAAATAAACTTACAAATGAGGTTCTGCCCAGTAATTTTCTTCAGCTATCAGCTAATGTATCCAGGCACCTAGGTCTGGAAGGATGCATTGTTTTGAGAAGCAGGTCATGTTTAATAACACCTCACTAGAAATACTCTGTGACTGGGTCAGCTCCCATTTGAATATCTAAACCAGAGGCTAGGTTTTCCAGAACAGTCATGGAAAATTGAATCTTAAACTGTTCTGATAATATGACCTTAAATACCACTAAAAGGACACAGTGCATCACTTTTATAAATTTAAATCTTTTTTGGAGGAAGCCTAAATGGAAACAGAACACCTCAATATAGGTGAACGGAAATATTTGTAGGCAGAGAAAGACAGAGGGAACAGGGCAGAATTTGATTCCAACTCTTTTTTTCCTGTGTTTCCTTACAAAAGCAGTTTAGTAACTACTGTGCATTTCAGGAAAGTCACATTTTT